GGTAGGGGTTATTTTTGTGTATTTGTTTGTAGGTTTTTAAGTCGGAAGGGTTGTAACACGTATTTGTGTATGTGTAGCAAGGATATGTTGCTAAAAATCCTGTTGGTCACCCAATAGGGAGCTAGCAACTGCGGCAGGTACGTACACTCAGTGCGTTTCCGTAGATCGAGCTTACGACCTTGGCCATAAAATAATGTAATATTATCATGTTATTGTTTTGCACCTTCAGTAAATTGCTAAGCAACTTTGATGAATCATAATGTAACATTTGGACAAATTTGTGAGTTTATTGATWATGTTTCCTCGATTTTATATACTTATACCTATCGTTATATAATATAGCGCAATCATTAGGCAATATATCTTTCATGTGCTTCAAAACATGTTAAGTTATATGTTAGGTATATATATATATATATATATATATATATGTGTATATATAATATTCTGTATTTGTATTGCCTACTCATCATATTCGTTTTTTTTTTTTATCACAACAATAATATAATATAGTATAAACAATAAAAATGGGTTTGCGTTCATCAGATAATGATATTATACCTATACTTAATATTACTTACATAATCTATATAATTATATAAATTCATCATATACGTATAGGTGTAATATATATTTAGTGACTAAACTTGTAATTATTTTACAATCGTTTTATTTATTATATATACTGGGTAACTAAACTAGAATGGGTAATTTGTGTTTGTTCTGCTACTTTAATTTTGATGATTTATTTTTTCTGAAAATTTGAGTTTAACTTTTTCAAAATATTTTAAGAAATCATACATTTTATAGATCATGCTGGAGTCAAGTTACTAGGTTTGAGACACTTAAACAATAGCTAAATAAATAATTCTAACTGTATACAGTGCTTATATTGTTTATTCTTATAACTCTTTATCAAACAATTATTGTTTTATACCTATTTTATCATCACCATAATTTACGTAGGTTCATAAATAAATAATGTTTTAATTTATTAATCAGAATTATTGTATTAGTAAAAAAACGATTACGAAACTTTTTATTTCTATTTTCTATGCATCTATCTAAATACAATATTAATTGTATTAAATATTAATTGGTTTGTACATTTTGTTTCATTTTACACGGTTGTTTTTTAATATATTATGTTATACCGGTGTTGCAGAGGACAATTTTCTCCGATACTCCTCCCGGACCCGTATAGTCCTTGACGTATATATTTATGTTGTTTATTTGTAGGACCTATACTCGGTGGAACGTTAATTTCATAACGATTTTCAGTTGTTTTAACCTGAAATTTTAATCTACATGATATTTTCTACTTAGTAATTATTGCTTTCGAAGATATGTATTATTTAAACTAGGCATTCATTATTTAGGTACTACTTTATATTGTTTTTTACCATTGTATATCTATACCTACTTCAGTACTACGATCGTTTGCTTCTAAAAAACAAACCTAAGAAAAACTGACGAATGTCAATTAAAAACAAATATTGCAACACTACAGATTAAATAATATACCTTTCTTTTTTCCAAGGATCAATACTTCAGTAAATGTTTAATGTTTCCATACGATGATCATTTCTTAATATTTATGCGCTTGTTATATTACATTATTTTAAAATCGGTGTTTCCGTGGTTAGACTGATCAGTTGAATGCATATTTAGTGTGAATGATGTATAGGTATACATATAATATATATTATATATAATAAATGTATTAAAAAAATTATTCAAATTGATTCTGTATTAAAATACAAACGATCGTTGGTGTAATATATTTGTACTTTTATAAATTGTATCTAAATATAATTATAACATAACTAACTAGGTATATTAATATTACATATTATTTTATAAATATAAACTACATATAAGACTATTTAATATTTATATTTACAAAACATTATTATGACTTATACATGGATGGAATGTCGTTAGGTGTAAATAAGTATCAGTAGTAGGTATATATTGAGTAGAAAAAAAGTTAATTATTAGTTATTTGATATTATTTCACAAAGCGCATAATATATTATTTATAATGTTTGAACGATTTTAAAACACTATAATATCATTCATACTCATGCATGTTGCCTATTTGCTYGTGTGCACATTTCATGTTTCGTAATATACCCTTTAGGATTGTCTACGTCATATGATATTGAAACAGACAGATTTTCAGTGTGTATATACATATATACGAGTACCTATATGCATGAATATGCGGTTATTAATATTATATTATGCACTCGAAGAGCAAAACCGCCAAACTTATTTATAAAGTAACTATATTTTAATTAACTTAAATTTGCCTCAGTCGCTCCTCCTAATCGAACTCCATTTCTCTGGCGAAATGTATAAACGACAGTACGGTGTCCACCAAATAAACAGCACCGGAAAGAACGCACAGCACGCCCACCGTGATGCCTATGGCACGTTCGGAAGTCACGCTTATATATTTGTTTTCGTTCTGATAACCAATCCAATAGTGAAGTGCTATACCGCCGACGGCAATAAACATGAACATGCCGACGAAATTCATTATTATATCCTAGAAAAAGAGTAAAAAGTATATAATATTATAGGTAGGTAGTATAGGAACAAAACGAATGGAATCARCGCGTGGAGTCCTTATTTTGATTAGAAAAAAAAAAACTAAAAAATAGACTTAGTTCTGTCGARAATTCAATATTGTTATATTTTATATTCTGTCTATAGCGCCAGCTATTTTTTATTTCCCAGGTTTTTTTTTAAGCATATTTTATTTTAAATATAATATGACAATATGAGGGTATGCGTAAGTAGGTATGCAATCGTATTTATGACAATTTATGATGACTTGAAATTAAAACAACAATTTTTTTTGTAATATAATGCGATGATGTCCTATCACACCTGTGAAGTTACAAGTTTTAATTTTTTGGAAAAGGGGAGAGGGAAAATCGATAAATTATTGTCACACATAACCAGCTGTATAAGTGCAACAAATTTGTTACTTTTTCTACGATTAATGTGTAATCAGTAATCACTAATTATTATACTTGATATTTGCACTCACCACTAACGTTTTCTTCTGGTGGTTTGACCCGAACCCGTACGATATCAAGATCACGACGGTGTAGATGAAGAAACCGACAAACACACCGGAAGCGACTATTTCCGCATCCGGGTTTTTCTCTTCGTTCAGGTTCCATGTACCACCGACTCCCAAAAATCCACCACGATATCCGGTTCGGTACAGCACCAAAATGATTATGTTCAACACCTATATAATATATTTAAATATACTTATTTGTAATATACATGGGCTGCGATTGTAGAATAACTTGTCTACGTGTAATTCGTATATAGCATTGGTGTATGCTTAGTATGCATATCATATATATGGCTCATAGTGAAATTGCATATTGTTCAATTAAAACAAATAATATATATCATAACTACATAATATAAGCTTTCGGCCCTTTAAAAAATGTATTCGTTGAACGGTATGATCAAGAGGCGGTCACCTCTGATTTTGGGTAATACTATAAGTAGATAATAATTTAGTATTTACTGCTAAGGCAGCTAGGTGTAGTTAAAAATATGACAGTAGGTAAATGCCTTTATAGTGAACGGGTGATGGGTGGGTGGGTGAAATATTATTAACTATTCTCTGAAGAATTTCAAGTTTTTTACACCGCTTTAGGAGCAATAAATGCATAATATTACCGAATATTGTGTATTCCCCCTGTAAATCATACTTACCAATTTCACGACTTTGATGACCACCGTGCCCACGCTTGCTATGTTGACCATCGTGAATTCGCTTCAGTGACTATATATCTATGTATAAAATAATATAATCGTCTTCCGGTCTAAAATCGTTGTGTGACAAATCGCGCTCGCATACACAATRAATTTCGTAGATATTATATTTCCACTGATGGCAATTCGCGGCCACTGCAGCCGATTGCGCGATGCGTTGAGCGCGACGGATGAGAGCTTTACGCCACTCCACGTTCCCGCGTTATCTTTATGACGGTATATTTGACGACATACCCATACCTATCGCCGATGGTTTGGTGTGAACGCACTACGCTACGTGCACATCGCATATATGGGCTGGGCTGGGCACATATACAATTATATTATAATGGTATGTACTATACGTTATCATATACCTAGGCACTCAAAATTCTGTCTGATGCCGGTATTGTCGGTATTAGCACTTGATTAGTGTATGTAAAAACGATGAAATACCAGATTAGATATTTGTGTACACAAGAAAAAGCATTAAAAATGTTTACGTATCCATTTATACATACATATTGTGTAATATGATGATATATATTATTTACTGTATCGTAGGTACCATAATATAATATATACGTTGTCTATAAGTTGATACGCCCGTGCAACGTGTTTTAACTCGCAGTAAGCAATAACTCCCCAATGTTTGCGTTTTTAATTCGAATTTAGTTTATAAAAAATGAGTGCATAATGCATACCTATAGGTATGTGTAATGTGTATACATACTACATAGGTATACCGAGAGTACTGAAATTTAATCGCTGCCGTAAGTCGTAACCACTAAGGCACTAACCACACAACATTTTTGTAACAATAAAACATATTTTCRTCTGGCCAGACAAGTTTCTCCGATGCAAAAATGTCCAATCTGAAAGAAACTTATTGTATAACTTTTATAGTTTCACCAATATTACATTCAATATTGTCTWTACTGTTATGGATTACGAATTAYGATGYTAATATTAATATGTCAATTAGCATTTTCAAAATTATCAATAACCCTGTCATAAGATTCAAAATGAGAACACAGTATATATATATACTCTTCCATAAGGATTTTTCTATAGCAATGGGGAGTTGTGACCTTCTTCGCAGTCCCCTGATACACAGTCCTAATTATACGTTACATTAATTTTGCATGTACCTATATATATATATGTATATGTATTGTATGTCTAAATATATGAGATATGACCCACCGAATGACGACGATATAATATGATATTCAGGTCTCGGGTGGCATAAAATAGTTGGTGGTGTATACAACGCATGCGGGCGACCATAGTGCGTACAATACACGCGGTTACACACGCGTACGCATCAAAGGCTTAAATTAAAAGGGGTGGCAACTACTGAAATTTCAGGTTCAATTAAAATATTTCATAATATATTATGTATCACACGTAGGTTTACTTGTTAATCCTGCAACCTAATCTTATGTACCTATAACACATCGGTTATACTTGTGGATGACTCATAATAGTCAGATGTATGCTGAATTCCGATGACTGATGTTTGGTAATGTATGCTCTTGCATCACTCCTTAAAGTGTCGATTATAATATCTACGTAAAAACAAATTCGAAATTTGTATGTAGACATAAAAATTATTTTTAGTTATAGTTATAGAAAGACAATATTTGTTTTTTCTACATTTTGTCTTATAATCGTTTTGTGTCGTGGAAATTAAGTCACTACATAAACATAAGCTTTACATCCAGATATCATAAGTCACATGGTGATTGATTTTAATTAAAACCAATCTTATAAATAATTTATAATCTGTTCTTGTTT